TAGCAACGTGGAACGTCTGTGACGTAGCTCCGCCCCCGCGGATAGTGGGGATTGGTGACGTTCGGTCGGTAAGGGCGCCACTCACGCCTGCCTACATGTCAGGCCAGATGTCAGGCCCAGCTGTTTGCCTTTCACTGTATATTGTTTAGACTGGCCACAGTAGGGGCGATTTTTTCAAACATAGATGTCATTTTTAATTTGAAAGAATATGTTCCCATATTTGGGAATTTCGCGGTGAGTGGGGTATTTCGTGGAAATATTTCCTTAATTTACTTGAGACAGGACAAATATAATCTCCCCCGACTGTAAGCCAGTCTATAAATAGTTTAGTCGTTCCAAAACGTATTTAGTTTTTAATGCATTTTCAAGTGAAACAACTGTTTTATACAAAATAACAATGGGAAGTGAAGTGATTGACTACACAATTAAAGATTGCCAGTGATAGAGTGGCCTAGTTGTCTAGTGTGTTCTAGTCCGTAGAAAAAATCATGAACTATAAGAAGTTGACCTAGCTAGTGTCACAAGTACGAGTACATTAACTAAATTAAAATTCGAAATGGGGTTTAGTAAGCGAGTTTCAAAAAAATTAGATATAATCAACAAAATGTGTTTCTCTGACAATATTATACCTCTATAGCCCGTGATTATGGAATCGTGTTAATGGCTGAAAATCAGGAATTAAGTAACTTTGAATTAAAAAGGAAGAAGAAAACAGAAACTGTGAATTTTATTTATTATTTGGGGATGGCTGGTACTGACCGCAAATATTTGGTCCAATCACAGTCCAATGATTCAATAATAATGACGATTTGAAGTCCTCCAATTAATAGTCGATATTAATTATGATATCATGCATTCACTCCTAGGCATATTTCAATTATGTAAATGATGTAAATACATCTAAGATTTTCTGCAATGTGCTATTATATCTTTTCTATTTTATGTGCATATATGACGCGTTTTTCCAGAGTCAATTCACACATTCACAGGTGCCTTCCATTTAAGGTAGCGAGAAGGGTTTTGTGACGTTTTCGAATAAATCATTCTCTGTCTGTTGTCTTGTTCAGAAGAGTAATTTAGCTTATATATTTCAAAAGACTAAGTATAGAGGTACAAGTTCGCACAAACTGGACAGTCATTGTTTACATAATTATCACGTGACATCAAAAATGGCGAATCTTGTAAAAATGACTAAGTCTTCGATTGCGAGAGCACACTGCGGAATTTCCTGGTGAAATTTAAGTTATGCATTGTCCGTAATCAAGTCCATTGAAATGCGTCTCCGATAATCAAAAGACCTATTATTCCGATTTCTATGCAGGTTTGTTTTTTTGTCCTCAAATTATTTCATACTTGGCACATTTAACAGACTATTATTCTGTGACAAAGCATTTTCTTTAAAAACCCAGACATATTTCGCACCATCATTATCTTTTGAACGATAACTGCGAGTTTGAATGTCCTAGTCCGAACGCACTTGATTTGGCGGCGGTCCCAATGAGTCGTACTCAATCGAAACTTCAGTTCGAGAAAAACGCGAAAAACAGTCTTGGTTAATAAAACACTGTAGATTTGCTGCATTATTATAAATATACACTAAAAATGGCCAAACATATTAACCACTGATATCATAGAGCTCATAAAGAGTGTCAGATAATGAATAATTTCAAGCTCGAGCGTGAAAATTAAAGAAAACTGCTGGCATTTGAGTCCCCACTCCAGGAACGTTTGGGTTTCCATTGTTATGCAAACAAACAACGAAGGATAATCCTCTGACAAACATTACTGTCCCACTGTACACGCTGACAGTTTACAAACAAGCTAATCCTTCAAGTGTCTCTGATAAGTGATCTAATAAAACGGTTTTCATGGTGAAACAAAATGGCCGATGTTTGAAAAAAAACAAGCAGCCTCTCGACTGAGATAGCTCCGCTGTTAGCAATGCACATTTCAATTAAAGAACAGAAGATATCATTAGAAAATGAACAATATGCATAGTATCAATGCAATGGGACTTGCTGTTTTCAACAAGAATTAAAAAATATAATTTTTCACCATAAATGATTGTGGTTTTTAACAAGAAGAAAATATCACTTTTTACCAAAAATGACAAAAATATTCACCAAAATTAGAGAATTAAAGATATCATTACAAAATGAATAAATCTGAGAGAGGTCCACATGTAGTACCTATATATGTAATATCAAAGCAATTGGACTTGCGGTTTTTAACAAGAAGTCGAAAATATCACTTTTTACCAAAAATGACAAAAATATTCACCAAAATTAGAGAATTGACGATATCATTACAAAATGAACAAATTTGAGAGTGGTCCACATGTAGTACCTATATATGTAATATCAAAGCAATTGGACTTGTGGTTTTTAACAAGAAGTCGAAAATATCACTTTTTACTAAAAATGACAAAAATATTCATTAAAATTAGAGAATTAAAGATATCATTACAAAATGAACAAATCTGAGAGAGGTCCACATGTAGTACCTATATATGTAATATCAAAGCAATTGGACTTGCGGTTTTTAACAAGAAGTTGAAAATATCACTTTTTACTAAAAATGACAAAAATATTCATTAAAATTAGAGAACTAAAGATATCATTACAAAATGAACAAATCTGAGAGAGATTCACATGTAGTACCTATATATGTAATATCAAAGCAATTGGACTTGCGGTTTTTAACAAGAAGTCGAAAATATCACTTTTTACCAAAAATGACAAAAATATTCACCAAAATTAGAGAATTGAAAATATGATCATGAAATGAACAAATCTGAGAGAGGTCTACCCAAGGTACATATACACCAAGTATCAAAGCATTCAGGCTTGTAGTTTTCAAGAAGAAGTCGAAAAAGTAAAACATTGACACGGACGACGGACGACGGACGACGGACGACGGACGACGACGACATACAATCACTCATATGATAGGCTCCGCTCGACAAAGTCGACAGCGGAGCTAATAAAAAAGGGGAGATGTGGTCAGTCTGATTTAGAGTATATTTGAAATGTTTGCAGTTAGATAAGCTTTGACCTCGCTAATTGCCGGGCCGTGGACGGTACATGTTTCTCTTCTCACAGGCACCTGGCACAGAGCAATCAGCCCCCGATCTATGACAATAACTCCGGGAATAACTCGTGCTGGATTTTTACAGGGGTTACTAACCTGTGTTTTAATGGGGGTATGTGAATAATGAGCAAGATTTGTTGAGCATATTTTTAGTGAGCAAAATTTTGTTCACGGGTCGGATGAAAAATCCTTGTTGAAACAGATAAGGGATCTATATGGTTGGATTAGGTAGAAGAGTCGGCTGCTATTTAATATTTACATAAATAAAAGCCAGCGAGTTCTTTATAACTTAGTACTGAAATACATTTACTGCTATAAGAAATAAAAAAATAAATAAAAAAAAAAAGTTTTGGATACATGTGTACATGAAAATATTTCCCTTTCATTTCAAATGGTTAACCGTTAATCTGTTTCAAGAAAAACGATGCTCAAAGGTTAGTACTAGGATACCTTTGCTCACCACTTATCCAACCTCGTTTTTACATGGCACAGTCTCATTCCCTGGACAGAGAAATATGTTAAATCCGATATACTGTAAAATGCTTTATTTTAGCTGGAATTAATTTTCACTGAAAAGACTTTTTGGACGTTTTGTATGGAATTTATTTACACCGATTTTTGACGAGTTGAATGAAAGATATGGAGAAAATGGTATATTCGCCGCTAGGTTTTATTTTCACTGAATAGTCCCCTCAGCGAAAATAAATTCCAGGCAAAAAAAAGTATTTTACAGTATACTACGATGATGTAAACAGTTGAAGAGGTTACCATGGCATTTATCGCCAAGGTGAACTACATGTTTACATTCAGTAATGACCGCCACTTTGGTCAGTTTTAAAACTGTTCCTATCACTTGGTTTCCATGGTGAGGATATATCTGTTTAAAGTGTGCATGGTGATTCTGATTAAACAAAGTGTCTATCTAACAGTTTTTGAAAAAAAAATGCAGTAGACTTTAAAACAGTGCTTGGACTGTGATTTGGATTTCGACCCAGTCTACGCTGGAGTACGTCACATGCCACATAAACAGTGGAATGTCCCGTGCTTGTGTCACGTGATTTTGAGAGATTTATTGAGCTATTGGTAACTCTTATTCGATATACCCGCTAAGTACTGCAACACATGAATACGGTAATCTGTCGCGTACTGCACATTATTTACGATGTATTTTAACTACCGGATGGCTGTGAATGCAATGACGTTACAATCGTATTTCACCTGTCGCCACGCATCGTACGACCTAGTCATTTCTTCTAAATGAGGCGGGGGGGGGGGGACTTTTCTCGATTCTCACGAAACCATCGAGTCAATACGGTGGCTTACAACTACAATCGACGATACGCATTTCAAAACCAGATGGGTATTCGCTAAAATTCGACTCACAAATCAAAGGCTTGATTTTTCTGATATATTAAATACTAAAGTTTGGAATAAGACTATGCCACCCCTTGCAAAATCACTTTTCAAAAGATAAACAAATTACATTCTTAACTAAGTGACTTGGCGCCTTGATGCAAATTCAAGTTATGATGTGAAACCTAGCCTTTTCCCGAAATACCCGATAGATGTAAGAGTCACGGTGTTTGTACTTACCTGCCTGTCTGCTTTCAATAAACTGACTGATATTTGGGGGAATTAAAACTAGAATTCAGTTTAGAAACTAGGGAACTTGGTTCAGTAAAAGGACCACAGAACTTAAAGGGCGGTGGTCATCGCGCAGCGCTTGTTCAAATTTCATGTAAACGAACAATGCATATTACACGCGTTGTGTACGTCGCTATGGGTCCCATATCGAACAGGACACGGCGCGACGACCATCGCCCTTTAAAAACTGGTTGAATGGAACCACAGATTAAACTGGTTCATATGCGTTTGATAATAAAGAGGCACACACAAAACGTACTACTATAAAACAGAAATGCATTTAATATTGACAATGTTTTTTTTAAAAAGCACAATTATGGAAAGCATCATAATTCCAACATACCCTAGTCTTAGAACAGTTTAACAATGAAAAAAAAAGACAATCCCCGATTGATAAAACCTATTAGTACCCGTGACATATTGTAAACATTTTATTCTATAGCCAGTCAGGTACGTGATATGAAAACAAATCAAAATCCGTCTCGTACTTTTTCACTAAGTTCTCAATGTGTTGCGCGGGGATAGTGGCAAATTCCCTTTGTAAGATATCTGGCGTCGTGGGTTTATACCATTTTTGTCTTTTGGGGAATTCCACTTCATTATCGGCGCCCACAGCATTTAACACGTGTTCTGTGTCCGATTCAATGTTTTCCAGTGTGCCGATGAAATCATAACGTACTGAACACGGCTGACAAAGATCGTGCATTGGCTTCCAGTGAATGTCCATTTTACTGACGCTGCTATCAATGACGTATTGCACAAATTCACTGAACGTCACTGTCATGTTGGCAATGTCGTTGACGTCAACAATGTGTCGATATTTCAGCAAGATTGCATGCCCAATCTTCTCACGAAACTCTGGTATATTCTCTGTGAACTTGTTCCTGTAGGCGGACAGCATTCGTGTTAGCGGCTGGCGAGAAAACATAAACTTGTAATAGTGTTTTAATTTGTAGTCTGCTTCCGCCTCTGGAAGATCGCTCAACAAAGTCAGTCCCTTGCGATGGTCCATTTTAATTGGCTTATGGATGTTTTCAATATAACCATCTAATACCTTAATTACACGTTTCCAGTTAGAACAAGCCACTTTCGGCACAAAACAATAAAGAAATTTGTATTTATCGTTGACGATAATCTGTTTGTACAGAGTATATTTTTCATCCCGCGTTAGAGAAGATATATTACTTTTGTAAAGTTTTGTATTCTTACAAGACGCCTCAAGATGCCGACTCCTCGTCTCCCATGGCAACTACAAAAAAAAGAGAAAACAGGACGCTAAGTTGGTTAATTAGACACAATATACAGTTTTGCATTTCAGTATATACACTAATTCAATAGCTTCACACAATTCCAACTATTTGATAGTCTTGAAATCAAACTTGCCCGCTAATCATTTATCATATCAAGTTGATGGGCCATGCACGCGTTACGCATACCAATCTGTTTTGGCGTGCGTCCATCTGGAAGTCCACTCTATAGGGTGCCAACAAATTCAAGTGCCGCATACACCTTCGGGCGGTAAGTAGAAAGAGTGAAAGACAGCGCATAACATATCAAGGACAAAAGATATTACCGCTTTTCAAACAACTCGCTAATGAATGTTATTCAGTCAACGTGCAACTAAACATATTAAACGGGGACACAAGCGTAGACTGTTTATCATAAACGCAAGTAAAAGGTTTCTTGAAAATAAATAGATAATTGCGAAATGGTGGTGTGTTTTCGTGAAATTTTGCATTTGAAGAAAATTGAGTTAGATACCAAATTATAATACACGAACACGAGATCAGTGAACTACATAAACGATTCCAGCAGGCTTGATATATATAATTTACTGTTATGAGAATGTTAATTAGTATCGAAAACAAAAACCAAATAAAACATTAATATACTTTCGGGGGCCACCCATTCCGAGACGTGACATTCTACACACAAACAAATGATATACAATTGTATAATTATGTCTGTGTCCGGGTGGGACGTTCTGTTAAACACGAGTACACAACCTTGAAAAGAAAAAACACAATAAGTATTTTCGACAGGCAGTTACACGTAATGCTAGGGAACGACATCTTATAAACCAGATCCCCAACAGACAATGAATCGTCTCTAATATTAACACTGGAAACGCCCGGTGACTGGAGCCCAAGGACAATTGATAAGGTGTAATAGATACTGGTCACATCCCACGACCTCCTCCAAGTTGTACGCGACAACGGGCGTTTAGCACCATAACGCGCTAATGGGCGTGGAATTGAAAACAGATTGCCAAGTTTGGACCTCGGTATACAACACAGAAAAATATTTCATAAAACATCAGAAGCTTTCTATGTTAATGACCGGTAAATTACATACACTGCAACAGTTACGAACTCTAAGAAGATATTGCGATGTTTGGGTTTTGCTGAATGTTCACGTGCCCCCCCCCCGTATGCGAGTCCTGTCCACAAAGAAAGACACGTACATCGATATATCATGATTCTATCTACATCTGCAATACGAGACTTGTTTTCCTTTATTCGGCGTATATTACCATCACGGATATCTGAATTAGTATGTAATACGTGTGTATTTCCTCACGCGCACGTTACCCGCGGGAATATCTGAATTACTGTCTAGTATTGGCGATACATTTCCTCCAAGTTCGGCTTATGCTGTAACAGTGGCCTCATCAAGCTGAAACCCTCAAAATGCAGGAAATATCGTTTCAGAGAGGCTAGACCCCCCCCCCCACGCAAAATTTCGTGCCGTCGCCTCTGTATAGAACACGTTTATATTTAATCAAATCAAGTTGTCGCTACTACTTAAAATAAAGTATATTCTAACAATGAAATTGTTGGCACTTTTGCTATATTAAAATAAAAATATTTACCTATACCCTATTTCAATGTGTTTTACAGTATTACCAGCATTGGTATCTGAATAACTATGAAATATGCGAGATGTATTCTTTCAGCGTACATTACCAGCAGGGGTATCTGAATTTCGCATAACTTTGATAACCCACTTTCATATACACGGACTAAATCTAAGGGATAAACCATTCAGTCTACTGGGCTAAAATAAAATCTTTTTGTCGGCCATCTCACAATGCACAAAGTTTACAATTAACTGGAGATGCGAGACAATAATTTTATTATTATTTTGTTACCATGACAATCGATATGCAGATTTGGATATGCTTAGAATTTTAAATTTACGGTGACTTATAATCACCAAACAAAATCGCCAAAAAATGTTGGCAATTTTCTGACAACTTTGTTAGGTGCGGGAACTTATTTTACGCGTAAACTGCGCATATATGTTTGTCAAATGATCTCTCGTTGAAACAAAGTACTAAAAAGTCCATTTTCCAAAGATAACAATAGTTTTGATGTATTTCTCAAAACAGATTAAGTTGATAAATAAACATGATGTTATAATTTGCTGAAGTATTCAAGTTACTGTTGGAAACGCACATGTTGTCAAGCTCAAATTCCTATATACAAGATTAATGGAAAACAAACTACGCTACGCTTGCTGCTAGTTGAATTGTTGGTATCAGGCGTGAAGTATAAACGTCATGATTCCCACGCGAGATCTCGGTCACGGCAGTAGGGGTCAAGGTTCAATACATCACTGTCAAACATATTTATGACGAAAGAAGAAAGTCGTCTTTGAAAGTCAATGTATAGAACAATCAATCTTTCAATGCAGAGATAGTCATCGGCTGTCAAATTACAATATTTGCCCTTATTTGAATTGAACATCGTAAGTCGCATTCGCTTTGCTGCAGACTTCAAAGGCATTGCTGTCATCGAACAATGTAAACAGCCACGGAACCACAATAGATAAGGGAATGCAGAGTTTACATAGACCCAATTCCGCCGTGCGCGTTACTTGCCTCACTAATAATGCAATTAATTGTCGGTAGTTATTGGTGACTAAGAAAAGCATAGTATTAATGGAATATCATATAACAAGCACGTCGACTCCTTCATTCGTTTCACTAACTTTTTAAAATATCAAGCTTAACGGGCACAGCATATTTTGTTTGTAATCAAGACTTTCAGTAAATGGGCGCTTTGTTGTCGGGTATAAAACCTAGACTGCCTTTCGATTCATTGCTACGTACCGTTTAGCCGATGCGGCCGGTTGGTCTGAACGGTTCATGTGGCTCCCACACTCAACTGGATACGGTCAATAGACCATAGTGCCCATAAAACCAATGGCCATAACTAAAATCGAGTGGATCTATACCATACATTGACAAAGCTCGCATCTGAGTAGGTCCTTTTTCATCGCTAGATCGTACTCGTATTAATGTAGGTGTCCAATATACGTTGTATTCAACACTGAAGTGCAAGGGGTTCGATTGAATTTCGGATGCACAACGGGTTAAGTTTCAACAAGTCGACCGGGAGGCCATTATGGGAATTAAGCACCAAGTAAAACAATAATAAACAGAGCGTTGCAGCCAGCGGGTCGGAGAGGTCGTGGCTCAAAGTTTGAATGAGGAATGACCAGACGATAACAGAAAAGCCCCTGGGATAACATAAAGGCATTGTATGTACATCTAGTATTCCCGAGACAAATTGATATACGTGATATAGCCTGTCTACATTCTATGTCGGCGAACGCGTGTGTTCAGTCTTACTTACGTTAATATCGGGTTGTACCGCCGAGGTCACTCGGACTTGTTCTACCATGCGCTCAACTTGTGCAGAGTCGCTCTGTGATTTCACATCGGGACTTGAAAATAGAACGATGATAAAAAATAAAGATACGGTGACAAGTACCACGTTCAGGCATATTTTCCGTCTTAAATGTCGGAGAGTCCACGTCCCGAGCATGATGACAACGGCAATCACCCTACTAATGTAGAACTGTCTAGTATTAATTCACTTGGACGACTCCCTGTCGGCACCATGTAATCGCTTAGAAATAACGCTACTGCCTTCAGTGGACGGACTTTGGAGTCAGCGGTATTGCGAGGACTGTCAAATCACGTCTACGACGTATCCTCAGCTGAATAATGGCGTACTTGGAGTGGCTGAGTAGGTGTGTTTTTGAATATTCATTCATAGCTCTTCTTATGCAAATAAGCTATCTTCACGCTGAATAAAAAAAATCAACGACTGGTCCGGATGTGATCAATAGCTTATTATGCATGTTACGTAAAATTGGAATGGCACAGGTCATAGGTCACATCAATATATCTATCAGTCAATACATGAATAATGAACACGTTTGTTGTTCCAGAGTCGTGTTGCCAGTGGAGATGTGTGGCAGAGAAAAGCAGCTGTAAAGGGCGTGTATGTTTGTATACCTGGATGTGACCCATGTCCCATCATGCAAACATATATATATGTTAAAGCACACTGGCGGATCCAGCAAAATGTATTGTGGGGGGGGGGGGCAAGCTTCGCTTAAAATATACGGAGCGAAATTCGCAAATAAACTATGCGTAATCCAATAATATGAATCGTCATGCGTTTGGGGGGGGATGCCCCCC